AAATGTCCACCATTTTTCAAAAGAGGAATTGTCTGGCTTGAAAATTGGTCTTGGTTACAGAAAGATCAGAAAATCAACAGAAAATGTGTCAGAAAATGCGCATACCAGTCTCATCATCGACCAGGGAAAAGACTCCCTGTCAGAACAGTCTCAATCCCAAATCAGTACAAATTTGACAGTTACCTCTGTTGATTCCAATGTTAAAGGAAAAGCCAGCATAATTGCCAAAAGAAAAAATAAATGCCCCACTCAAAACTCCCTTACAGTTGCCAGCACTGACACCTCCAGGACTGTGGAAGCGTCACAGAAAAATGTAGTAAATCTTGATGGGCTTTCAGCTACAAATATAAAACTAGAAAGCCCCTCTCTGACTGAAGAGAATTGTGTTATTGAATTAAATGAGCCAGCTATATTTGCAGTGCAAGAGCTGAGTGGTGGAAGTCCGTATCTCTTTGACACACTTAATGCTCCAGACAAAAGAACAGAATATGCAACTCCACAATCTAACAGAGAAATTGAGACAAATTCAAATGTGATGGTTGATCTTAAAGAGAAAGCTAAAATGCCAGTAGACAATATCGATTTTGGTGATTCAGGTGATGCACAAATTATGTACCGTCCATACCGATGTGTGCATGAAGGATGTGTGGCTGCCTTTTCAATCCAACAAAATCTTATTCTCCATTATAGGGCTATGCATCAATCAGAATGTGATGACAAAAACAGTGCTAAAGAAACTAATGGAGTTGTCCAAGTGCAAGAATACAGATGCCAAGTCAAACAATGCTCAAAAGTAGTGTCGAAAGTTACCAGTTTGTTGAAACACTATCTTTTACTCCATAGATGCACATTGGAAAAGGCAAGTGCATTGTTATCCGGTGTTGAGGTGGGCACGTTTCAGTGCGACCAGTCAAAATGTTCTGCTCACTTCACGTGTCATCTGAAGTACATTGATCATATCAGAAATGATCACAAAGCAATAAAGGTTTCAGCGGATGGGGACTTCGAGAGCGTGGACCTCACATTCAGATGTCAGTTCGAAGGTTGTGACAGGGTATATACAACCAAGTCAAACCTTCTTCGACACCTTATGAAGAAACATGATGCTACTTTTGAAACTATGAAAAAGAAACAAGAAAATGGGATTGGGATTGGGGATGATGTTCAAGCAAAAAAGTTAAGTGCAGGTTCTAACAATGGAAAAGAGAATATTGCAGATAACAACATTAAAATGAAGAGGAAGAATTCAAAAAAGAAAGAGGACAAGGCCCAGAACCATTGGATGATGGTAGAAAAGCCTGCTCTTAAATCCACCGATGAAGCATCTGCCTTGTGCAGTGAAAGACTTCCTTTACAGTACCCGTGCATGATTGAGAGTTGTGA